CTCATACATCAACAATAACATAAATATATTTAAATATAACATAAATAATATAATATAAATATTGTTAAAATATTATTTTAATCTACTTGTATAATCATATCATTTTTATTACTAAACAATATTTGCAAAATTTTATACAATCTGTTTTAGAAAAATATAAATTTTAATCAATATCTGTTTCTTTTTTTATATCTTCAAACTTTAGAGATTTGGTTTAATTTAATTTTAGATACCCAAAAAAGTAAATGAAAATCTTTCTAAGATTATAATTTTAAATATATACATATTCTTAAATATAATCTAAGCAAATCAAATTATTTTTTGACCAAAGAAAAACAAATCAAATTATTTATTTTATCTTAATTTTATGTTTAATTAAATTAAAATACATAGTAAAATATTGATATACAAATAATAAAATCTAAAATGTAAAAAAAATATTTTAAATATAATATAATTTAAATTTTTTATTACTGCATATAGTGTAAGGAAAACACCTAGTACTATATATACACAAGTCAGTCTTTGATAACTATTGTTTGAATTGCATTCTTTTGTTTAACGATTGGAAAACATGAAAATATGTGAGGCTAGTTTACTAGTGGCTAACACTAGAAATCAATACTAATCAACAAATTCACATACACACATACGTACATACTCTTTTGTCAAAAATATTCTACAGACTATATACTATACATATATGATATAACAAAGCATCAGCTTCCACAGCCTTTATTTTAGATTTTCTTGAGTTACCTTTTACTTTTATACATCAAAACATGAACTGCAAAATAAGCATCAATGACTGCTAAACGAAATGAGCACTTAGTTAGTATCACAGAGTGAGAACACTCGATGGTTTACGGAAAATTCAGTTCTAGTTGTCACTGTTGTTGCATCCGGCCCGTTGACTTGACACCCCGAACATAGATCTTGTAAGATTTAGTTGAACCTTTGTCTCTTTGTTCTCACATTTTCTGCAACATTTCGATTTATGGTATGACAGAGTAGTTAAATGATAGATGGTTTATTCACAAAGTCGTGCAAGTTAGTTTAAAACACAAAAAAAAAAGATTGTGTGGGGTTTACAAAGTCCCTAAAGATTATGATTTTCCAAAAAACTAATGCACCGTCTGTTAAATAGTAAGCCCATAGACCGAGTGAACAAGCTGGGGGTCCAATGGTGGGGAGGTGTTAGATTTTCTTCCACAATGACTGGAAGAAAATACTTTTGAATAAAAAATATTAATTACGGGTTTGGTTTGGTTCGGTTTTGTTTTTTGGGGTGGACATCTCAGTTTAATTACGGGTTTGGTTTGTTTTTTTGGGTTTAAGAAATATTTTTGAATAAAAATAATAAAATTGCATAGTGAATTATTAAAAACAACAATCTACACAAACTAACTGATTTGATGACTTATATGATCTAGCTGTGGAAACCAAAAGTTAACATAAAGAGAAATTAATACAATATATGATAGAATCCCTAGAAATCTTATGAAAATTACAAAAACCCAATCTCACATTCTAACAAGTACAAAAAATTATATAACAGGTAAAATGTGTATTATAGATTTCGATCTGTGATTCAAAATGCTGGTTAATTTTTGGTTCATAAAAATTTTATATAATAAAACTTATAATTTATGTATATATATTATATGTTTATATAGAAAATTTATTTTTGATTTTAATATCCTGTGCTTTGATTAAATATTTAAATTTATCTATATATATATATATATATAATTATAAACGAAACAAAATAAGATCCGTTTATTAAACTCATTTTCCACTGGTTTGGTTTTTAATTTTATTTAAACAGAAATGAGATCATTTAAAACAAAAATCGACTGGCATTAGTCAAAATATTTTTTATGTGTGTTTTATAGTAAATAAATTAGTTAATATATTCGTTAAACCCGTTTGGTACTAGATCAATGTTTTATGTGCATCCTCTATATATTAATTGAGAATCATTTAAACAGCTGTAACCTTAAATTTGTATTAATTAAAATAACTTTATTTCTATGTGGCATATCTTTTTACCTTCTAAATTTTATTTAACACAATTGTAGAGCACCTTACATATTCCATAGTTTAAACATATATTTACTAGAAAGATGTTGGTCGCATATCTTATTAATCTTAAAAATTTATTATTCATTCTTTCCTTAAATAAAAGTTACCGAATTATCTAATGTGTTTAAAATATATATGATAATTAATAATTTCAATAATAAATATTTTCTAATAATTTGTATACCCACTATCATTTTATTTAAATATTTGTTATTAAAATAAATTACACAATTACATTATTCGTATATATTGTATTTTGAATTTTTTAAACGGGTATAAATTACTAAACTGTTAAAAGTCTCAGATAAACTTTTTGTGATCAATGGTTTAAAATTTTATTATAATAAGATACAAATAATTATAAAAATACATGAGTAAGACATCTTATTTAATATGTTGATATTAATACATATATATAATTTAAATTAAATTACATACAATATAAAAATACGTACTTATATTTTGATATTTGCATTGAAAAAATATTGAGAATTTAATATTTTAATTTTAAAATTTGCATTCAGTTTTTAATAGTTCAAAATTTTGGTATAAAAATATATTGATAATCATAAAACCTTATTGAGAAAATTCATTTACTAAACATTCATATTAAAAATATATTATAGATATTTTCAATGTCATTTAAATTTAATAGTATCTAATATACGATGGATAAAATTGATTGTTTTGATTTATTTATCATAAAATAATTGTTAATAAATAAGAGTGATCATTTGATTTAATTTCACGCACCAAATTATTTATATACGTAATAGTGATTGAGTTCTCAGTCATTAAATCTATATATTTTTATTTATTATTTCATAATATGTATAAAAATATAAAATACATAGTAGCATAAGGATATAGTTTGTAGATAAATTGTTTATACTGCGCATATCTTATACAATAAAATTGGGTTTTCTCCCTTCTCATGCTGCCATATCAGCATTGGAGATAGGGGCAAAAAATTCCACGTCAGCACCTCTTTAAGTGATCTATGCTTTCTTGCCAACCAATTTTATTGGGCTGTTTTACTCTCTTCAACCAAAGCCCATAGGTTATTAGGGTCTGATTTTACTGTACATTTATGCTTTAAGCAATCGCCGTGACTCTTCCTATATCACGACCTCCTATCGCCGGCTGTGTAACGGGTTTCATTTTCAGCTATTTACTACATTTATCAAAGAATTTACAGCGTCCTCCGTCCTCACCACTACTTTCACTCTCTCGCATTTGTTTACTTCAAACTGACATGGTAATCTAGACAATACTTGATATATGTACGGTTGATGTTCGGTAAATGGTTAAGCTCAGCTTCAGACTGATATGGTAATCAGCTTTTATAAAGTTTATTTACGTGTGATGTAATGGATTCTCCCCCTTCTACCTTTTCTTACATTTTATAAACCTCTCAGTGCTCTTTTTACTTGACAAAATGAACCAGATAATTTATTCAAACAATGAAACACTATTTACAATAAAGTTTCTTTGTTTTAAAATGGGAATTGATTGCATCAGAGATTTTGTTGAAAACATAGTGAGATATGTTCAGACAGACCATTTTCTTTGTCAGCTTATTCGGGGGTGAGGTTGCTTGCTCCACTAATCACATGATTACATATCATTTAGTTTAGACTAATCTTATAACATTTTCATTCACTTGATACTATTTATATTCATCGATTGACAAAAGTTATTAATCATTTATGGTATTAATCAGATTTGCCTTCTATTTGAAGGGAAGTATAAAAAAAATTTATACCGATATGAATCTCATCATATTACTTTTGCTCTATCCCTTTACAATTTTCTTATAAGCAGCACCAGTCTATTAAAATGTATTTTCATCTACAACTTTAATATTAATTTTGTTCACTACTTCAACTAATACCATCTCCAATGTATTATAAATGTTGAAAACTAACCCATTCCCTATCTTTAAATTTTCATAAACTTGCAACATTATTTAAACTATATATTTTTTACAAAAGGACATCATACAAAAATAATAAAGAAAGGTAGACATTATCTAACCATCAAATTACTGTACTTTTCATATATGGTCAACTAATGCATTCCAAAGTGAAAAATGAGCTTTTTAGCTTTAATATTTTTAATTAAAAAAATCAACAAGTTCCTCTTCCATCCAATTCGTTTGAGAAATATTTTTATGCTCTTTAGGGATTTAGAAATAATTTACCGGAATATTGAGTTGTTACAATATGTTCAATCAATTAGTATTTAAGTTCAACTTAAATATATTATACATATTTTTAGTCAAAAAAGTATATTATATTTATTATTTTCAATATTAAGTAAATTTCAAAAGTTCTAAAAAATTAAATATATTTTAATATATAATAGTTTTAGTGTAAATTCACCCGCCCGTAGGGCGGGACAACCCCTAGTCTTATATAAAAGTTACGAAAAGAAAATGAAACACAATTTTTTTTATATGATTTCACCATATAGAACAAATTCACAAATGAATAATATATAAAGCAAGATCCACGATACATACAACTTATTCCCCCTCCATTTATAAATGATTATATAAACAATCTCAAATTCTATTTAATTTACAGACCAACCCACATATCAATTTTGTTTTTCTCATAACTAAATGTTTATATTTTTTTTTAACTCATTCCGCGCAAGGCGCGGGTCTTATCATAGTTTGTATTGTTATATATGAATCGTGATCTCATGTGTTTTAACCGAGGGTAGTATGTGTCCTTAAAATAACAAAAAGGCCTGTCACACATATACCAGATATATAATCAAATTAGTTTCTCTTAATTCTCAACTTTTCATCTTGATACAATATATATAGAAGACATCTTTATCAGCTGACTCGATCAATATATATAGTGATAACTGAAAGACACAAAGCACAAATAGAAGAAATAAGATCAAACGGCAGAGGAAGGTGATTGAGATGTTGTTGGTTTAGCATGTCGTCGTGGGAGACCACATTTTGGCAAACAATCTTGGTAACAAGGTTTGTTTTGTTTGCCACAACGAATGGAACAGATTCTGAAGCAAAAGAATCTTGAGTCTTGTGTTGGCTTGCTATCCTCACCATCATCAGCATCAGGTTTCAATCCATTGCATGCTTGTAAAGCAAATCCCATTATTATCAATGCCATGACCATATACACTTTTCCTGCCATTTTTCTCTTATACGCTCTTAACTCTTTTTGTTCAAAACAGAACTCTAGGACTTGTGTTTGTTGTATGAGATGTGTAGATTGGTGATAGAGAGGAATGCGTTTATATATTGAGTTGTTGCCTCTATATATAGTACATTTGCTATTTCTGTTTGTTTCTTGTTGTTTGATATGTAGTTTGGTTAGTATTAGGAAAAAGAATCATATAGATAAGGATTTACCTTTATGTTTATCATTATCTTCTCATAGAGATATATGTTTTGATATCAGTACGAGATTACAGTTTATAATTCCATCTCTACTTTACAGTTAGAGATCTGTCTGGTTTGACATAAATAGTATTGTCTAACTATTGTTTGAATTGCATTCTTGTTATGTTATTTAATTGTTCCAAATAAAAAAAAGTTATGTTATTTAATTACTGGAAAATAAGAACATATGTGAGGCATAGTTTACTAGTATTGGCAACATTAGTAATCATCACATTCACAAACACACCATACATACTATAGATATATGGTATCAAGTATCAGCTTCAGCAGACGTTATTTTAGATTATTAAGTTACCTTTTACTTTTATGCATCAAAACATGAGCTGCAAAATGAGCATCAGTGACTGGTAACCAAAATGAGAGGGAGAAAGTAACCAATGGAGATTTTTTTGCTCAATTGGCATTTTTAGAGATTGCTGGTAAATGAGATAAGTTGAGCCCTTAGAACAGCCTTAGTCGAATGACGAGAGAGCTCGTTCATTTTGACTTTCTTTTCATATATGAACATGAGACCATCAGCAATAGCAGAGACTTTTAGTCTCTCAAATAATTGTAGATGTTAAAAGCTAGTTATTACTCCATCCGTTTCACTTTACTTGTCATTCTAGATTTTTCCACACAGATTAAGAGAACATTTAATTTTCATTTTCAAGATAAAAACACTTTTTAACCAAACAAAACACTCTCAATCGCGAAAAAACTCTTTATTCAAAACAATTTGATAATCCAATGGCGGGTAAAGGCGAAGGTCCAGCGATCGGAATCGATCTCGGCACTACCTACTCATGCGTCGGTGTCTGGCAACATGACCGCGTCGAAATCATCGCTAACGATCAAGGCAACCGCACCACTCCTTCCTACGTCGCCTTCACTGACAGAGAGCGTCTCATCGGAGATGCCGCCAAGAATTAAGTCGCTATGAACCCTACCAACACCGTCTTTGATGCTAAGCGTCTCATCGGTAGAAGATTCAGTGACCCCTCCGTCCAAGTAGATATGCGTCACTGGCCTTTCAAGGTCATCTCTGGCCCAGCAGAGAAGCCCATGATCGTCGTCAACTACAAAGGAGAAGAGAAACAGTTCTCAGTTGAAGAAATATCCTCCATGGTCCTCACAAAGATGCGTGAGATCGCAGAAGCGTTCCTCGGAACATCAGTCAAAAACGCCGTCGTTACAGTCCCCGCTTACTTCAACGACTCTCAGCGTCAGGCTACAAAAGACGCCGGAGTCATATCAGAACTCAACGTGATGCGTATCATCAACGAGCCAACGGCTGCAGCTATTGCTTACGGAATTGATAAAAAGGCGTCGAGCGTTGGAGAGAAGAATGTGTTGATATTCGATCTTGGAGGTGGGACGTTTGATGTTTCTTTGTTGACGATTGAGGAAGGGATCTTTGAAGTGAAGGCCACGGCTGGTGACACACATCTTGGTGGTGAGGATTTTGATAACAGGATGGTGAATCATTTTGTGCAAGAGTTTAAGAGGAAGCATAAGAAGGATATTACCGGGAATCCACGAGCGTTGAGGAGGTTGCAAACGGCTTGCGCGAGAGCTAAGAGAACTCTCTCTTCTACCGCTCAGACGACGATAGAGATTGATTCTCTCTACGAAGGGATTGATTTTTACACTACGATTACGCGCGCGAGGTTTGAGGAATTGAACATGGATTTGTTTAGGAAGTGTATGGAGCCTGTGGAGAAGTGTTTGAGAGATGCTAAGATGGATAAGAGTAATGTTCATGATATTGTGCTTGTTGGTGGGTCCACTAGGATTCCTAAAGTTCAGCAGCTTTTGCAAGATTTTTTTAATGGGAAGGAGCTTTGTAAGAGTATTAATCCTGATGAAGCTGTTGCTTATGGAGCGGCGGTTCAGGCTGCGATTTTGAGTGGGGAAGGGAATGAGAAGGTTCAAGATTTGTTGCTTCTTGATGTTACTCCTTTGTCTTTGGGTTTGGAGACTGCTGGTGGTGTGATGACTGTTTTGATTCCGAGGAACACTACGATTCCTACTAAAAAGGAGCAGATCTTCTCGACTTATTCAGACAACCAGCCTGGTGTGTTGATTCAAGTGTACGAAGGAGAGAGAGCAAGAACTAAGGATAATAACCTTCTCGGGAAGTTTGAGCTGAGTGGTATCCCACCTGCGCCACGAGGTGTTCCTCAGATCACTGTCTGTTTCGATATCGATGCTAATGGTATCCTCAACGTGTCTGCTGAGGACAAGACTACAGGTCAGAGGAATAAGATCACAATCACCAACAACAAGGGAAGATAATGAGGGTGGTCAGGCTGAGAAGGAAAAGTCTGATGATAAAGAAGATACTGAGATAGAAGGAGAAGCTTGTTTGACTGGTTTGGAACATAAAGAGAATGAAGTAGAAGATGCCAATGTGGAAGAAGATGGACTTCTCGATGACAAAGTGAGTGAAGAAGGAGCTGCTAGTATGGAAGAAGATGGAGTTGTCAATGAGAAAGCGAACGAAGAACAACCTCACAATATGGAAGAAGATGAAATCATGAATCCTAGTGATGAAGGAGTTCGACTAGATGAGGAGGAAGCGAAAGAAAAGAAAAAAAGAGGACCAACAAAGATGCGTAGAGTGGCTGAGAATCCTAATGAAAAGGTTGCGGTCACATTCA